GAATCTTTTCAAGTTTCATTTGTTATCTTTTGTTACCGTCAGCTAAGGCTTCCTAATGCGGCATCATAGACATTTCAATCAATCGGTTTCACTTTTTCATTTTTGTTTATTTATAACAAACATTCGATAAGAGAAGACGTCGCTTAGATCTGAATCATGGAGAACAGCTGAACAAGTTCAAAGGGGCTCTTTTTCAGTACAATTTTAGACTCAAAGTCAAGAATAAATTTTGAAACTCGTCGTTATCAGAAATTTTAGCTTGCTCAAAATTGTACACAATGATCCAAGTTGATCGTCTGAAAAAGAAACATTAACGCTTATTGAAAGCAGGAAACTCGCTAAATATATTGACCTTTTAGTCGAATAATTTGTAAAATTAGACCAAAAAAGCTACTCTTGATGAATAATCTAGCAGTGTGAAATAAATTGTAAAAAGCAACGAATTAGGGTTTGACCGTTTTTTTAGTAGCTTCTCCAAATTTTTTATGAATTGATTAAACAATCTGCCGAGTCTTACGACAACTGCTGAAAAAATTAGAATGTCTCAGCAACTTCAAAATTTTACTGACTTTTATTCTATGTTTTTCCATATGACAATATCTGCGGCAGATAGCAACCACTAATTGCAAAGGCAATCATTAAACTTAAAACTTAGGTTCAACTTAGAAATCATCTTACTATGGGCAAACTGAAGATCGAAATAACGAAAGTTTTAAAAACACTAACGTTTTTCATAAAAGGCAGCAAAAATCAAATTCATGAAAACCTCATAATTCCAGCAAACTTTTTGTTGATTCTTTGTTTTCTTACAATTTGCAAGTTCATTTCGATGATATCATACCACCGTAAAATATTGCATAGAAAAAAAACTGAATAAAAAAAGTTTTTCATTTTGATCAGGTGTGATGCTAAAGTTTCACGATGCTTTATTTGAAAAAAAAAAGGTTTTGCAACAATTTTGAAAGCATAATTATAGTGGCCCAATCATTTATATAATAGCACCATGGCATTCGACATAAAAAAATTAAACTTGTTGCAACAATTAAATTGACAAATCGCAAAAAATTACCATTTCAAGTTAGCAATCCTAAAAAATACCAATGCTAGAAAAACTAACATACCTATTATTCAGTTATTTTTCATAACGAATTTATCAGAAAAATGCATACTGCAGCTGTTGTAGTTGCCTTTTTAGAAATTCTGCTCCACACCTCTACACTTAATTGAGGCAAAAATTATCTGATAACAGAGCATTTAACAAAAACGGCGGATATTGATTTCACATGTGAGTTCAAGCACCTGAGCCCAGAAAGCACTAGTAGCCACTGAACAAATTCAAAGGTGGGTTTCAGTTTACCCTAAAGCAAGTTTTGGCCCAAAATCAAAGCAAGTATCGAAAGCTTACATTCATTCAAAAATTTCATAGGCATTAAAATTTGTACCATAATAATTAGCTCAATTTCAAGTTAATCTACTGAAAAGATCGAGAAAGGGATTTTGAAAGCGCAAAACTTGTCCAGTTCATCAACTTTTCAGTCTGAAAAAATATAAAGTAAGTCCAAGCAAATGTCTCTTAATGAATATTCTACCAATTTTTATTAGTATTTAAAAAACAACTCAATCAGTTTCGTGTAAAAAGAAAAAAACTCACTAAACAGTAAAAATTATAATCATTTTTCACACCAGAGTCTAAACTCTTCACATGTACTTAGCATATGAAAAACGTCATCAAAACTAACATTGTACAATTTTAGCAAAAGTCGAACTGCCATTTTGTTACAAGAAAAAAATTGAGTCCTAGGCAAGCGCGCTGTTTGATGCGTGTATGACTCTGGATTCAGGAGACAAGCTTGTAAACAAGTTCCAGATTGTAACCAAAATATTGCAGATTTCCACAATCAAATGAATGTTACGTTAATTTCATCGTCGGCACCTTTACTGGGTCGCGATACCGGCAATGAATGGAAAGATTAAAATGAGCAAAAAGAAATGAGCTTATTTCAAAGGGAGCTGATTTATGATTTAGCCTCCTGACTGTGGATTCCACATAGGCAAAAAGTATCCTTGTTGCGGAATCTATAACAAAAACAGTTTTCTGCCTATTGCAGAATCCGCAAACAATTACAAAAAACACAGAGTATGATTGTAATGAATCGTCACAAGTATTTTTTCTAAGATGGATTAAATTTACGCTTACGCGCCAATAGCGCGAAATATATTGAGCGTCAACTGTCTCAATTTGGCCAAAATGGCATATTTAAACCCCTATAACTTTACAAAAGAAGATCACAGGTAAAAAAAATTGTTCAAACTTAGGCTCAAGACAACACTATCTTTCGAATGATATGAAAAATTCCGTCAACAATGGCTAGTTAAAAAGTCAAAATTTGTCTGAAGAAAAAAAAACCCACCCCGAGAGCAAATATTCCGTTACTTTCGTATCGAAAGTCGGAACAATAATAATTTCAAAACACGACAACTTCCTAATCCATGTGTTATCATAATGATTATTTGTTTCCGAAAAAAAACTCAAAACTTTTTTTTCGATGAAGGACACATCAGTGTGAAATCTTGCACAAGAATCAATTGATTCAATTTCGTCTATCAATATCTAAAACGATATCGAATTTATGGGTTTTATTTTTTTTTCAATGGAAAGTGAGGCAAAGTGCGATACCCCCATAAGCTATATTAATAGCAACAACGCACAATCATTATGAAAATTTTTACGATATTCAAATTGGCATTCCGCGAAAAATGAACAAGTCAAATTTTCACTCTATGATCAATTAAAAATTCAACTGAAATTACAAATCCACCTATCAAATTTAGTCACGGGCATGAAAGATGCAATTTTTTTTGATTTCAAGAAGCAAATAAACATTTTTTTAGCGTTTTTGCATCTATTGAAGATATGGTTAAACTTTGACAAATTTTGAGAACTTTTTGGGGATCAAGTTTTGAATACCATGTTCGAAAGTAATAAAATGCCAGTATACCTCAACTAGTGCATCATACAGAAATATCAGTTTTTGGGTTAAAATTGATTCTAACTTGATTGAAAAATAGCGCAATATTATTCCTATATAAGTTGTTTTAGGCCCTTGAAATCAAATCCTTTGCTTTGTTTGCGAGTGGTTTTCCACAGTAACGATACCTCTGAAGCTAGTTATGGTACGCAGGCTATTTTACCCCATCAAAAACATTTACTGGCTATCTTACCATCTCAATTTCAGATTTCGTAATTCTTTTACGGCTAGCTGTTTTAAATTAATTGAAAAAAAGAAAAAAAACGTGAAGAAAAAATTGTTTTATTTGCTCTCAATCAGATCAAAAAGATAAATTTCTTCGTCTTGTGACTGCAGAAATCTTAAAATGTCTTGAAAAAGTATCAACAAATATATAAGCTATGTATTAGTAACCTAGTAAAAAATTTTCAGTTAGAACAACCAAGCAAACTCAACTTGCTATATTTGTTAATGCTGACAAAAATTTGAAAGCCGTTGCTTTTGCATTTTTTGTAATAACTTCTTACAATGAAATCGAACCAACAAAAGGAACAGATTTTAACCAAAGTCATAGTATTTTCTGCAACTGAGCTCAAATAGCAGACGGATAGTTGAAAAAAATTTAGAGAGATTTCACCCATAGCTTTGTTCTGCAACTGAGCTCAGTTATCATTGAGCAAGTTTGAATATCAACTTTAGATAGGGTGGGTAATAAACTGAAAGCTATAAAAAAACGTTTCTTTTTTTAGTTATTTCATGATTTTTGCACTTTATAGCATAGCTTAATAGTTTTTCAGCTATTTAGTGGACCAGATATCTCTAAACGTCATCGACAATTCTTCTAGTATTTTGTCGAGTTTTTCAAAAAAAAAATTCAGTCAAATTGATTAGCAATTACAGCAAAAAATTCAAGAAAAAGTGGATCGAAATCCCGAAGGAAGGCGTCCACCCCTTCCGCCCTAAATCCTCCCTTGTGCACTCAAGGAATTTTCAGTAAGCTAGTTTTTGTTTGCTGATATTAACTTTAATTAACTTTAGTCTATGAAAAACCTTTGATTGATCTCTTTTTGGCAGCCAGTTTGGTTTTTCGCACTCCACCCCCCCTCCCCCCCACCGATGAAATTTTACAAATAACTAATTTTGTTCACATCGATTGTTGCGTAAATTGTCATGCGTACTGATTCGGAATTGACAAACATATTTGGTCTTCATTTTCAATCTTTTGAAACCACCCGATAGACTATAAAACCGATGCTTGGGCTGGGTGGGGGAAAAGAAAAAGAGCCGCCAACTTTTGTAAATTTACAAAATAATTTGATTTTTGATGATTAATTTTGCTCCAGTGGCTTTTTTAAAGTTATTACCAGTTTGCTGGTAGATTTGTCCTCTTTAATAGGTAAAAACAAATTTTTCAAGGTTCATTTTAATTTCAGACAATTTTTTCCGCATGGTTGTCTTAAAGTTCAAGTTTGATACAAACTTTGTTCAAAAATTACGGTTGATCCAAATGCACTTTTCATCAGTGATTTCATATTTTTGATTGTTTTTTTAAAACATTTTGCAAACGTCCTCTCAAATACTATTATGAAACAAAAAAATGACGGGTTTTAATTACATATAACATATTTCAAACTTTAGTCATGCAAATAATTAAAATTTAAGTAAATATGAAAATAACAACGCTTATGATTTCAGTTTCGTTGAAGAGTATAATAACACCTGCCTTTTGCAAAACAAAATGGGAGCTGATTTTAAGAGGGTAGAGGATTTTTCACATCATAAGTCTTAATTTTTTAAGGGCGAGCTACCGAATGCACAAAACACTCCTCAAGTAATCTCCCAAAAACGTTGGTTTTCTCGGCACTATAAAAATTAAGTTTCTATCTTTTTTTGCGTCTGAACAAAAGAAGAGGTCTAATTTATCTAACTTTCTTCGAGAGAGACTTGCACATAAAATCCATAAAATCGCGCGTTTTTTCTATCATATATGCCACAAACCCAGGCTTGGTCACACAAAAAAAATGCAGCCCCAAAACACTGCTTTTTGCATTTTGCAGGATTTTAAGCCTACTGCGGGGGAGGGGGGATGGGTGAATATGGGAAAGATACAAAACGGCAAATGACATAACCATGGTATTAAAAGGTTTTCGAATGTTTCAAGCTAGTTTTTTTTAGTTAGTTTGACATTGGGGACGACGAGCTGCTTCCTTTTTTGCTGGTTCCGAGTCCAAATGAGCTCCCGTTGTTGTTATTATTATTATTGTTGTTGTTACTATTGATGTTGTCATTATTGTTGTTTTCAGAGGTGGGGGAGTTTGAAGCAGAGCCTTGTTGTTGCTGCTGCTGCTGCTGTTGTTGTTGTTGTTGTTGTTGTTGTTGTTGTTGTTGTTGTTGATCTTGGTTTGCTGTCGTGAACACCAACTGTGCTTCTCCTACAAACTCCATTTCCATTGAGGACACGTGACTGTTCGCACAAATCAGTTCTGTTTTGTAGTGGCAGCCTAAAATTTTTAAAAAAAAAATAGAAATCCTTACATCATACCGAAAAAAGTTTCAGGATTTATGAGTCAATTAAAATTTCTTGTAAAGACTGATCAATTTAGTTACAAGCATAATCATTATAATGTCTTCTTCAAATTTTAAAAATATAACTTTTTGCTCATGTAAAAAAGACTTCTTTCTTGTTTTGTTTTTAAAGTTTTGCCAGCATTTTGTTTTCCCTTTTTGGGCTCTTAAATCAAGTATATTGGAACAAGAGCAGATGAAATAGCCTCCAAGGTGACAAAATTTTTTAATGTATTTACAAAACAAATCTCACTTTTTAGTCGCTATATCATAAATTAAAGATGATATGCTACTCTTTTCCCCCAGTGCCCACCAAAGGTTATTGGTCTAACTCATAAGAATACAAAAAAAAAAAAAACAAGACTACTCGTATCATGGCAAAATTTTGAATATTGCGACTGCCTGTTAGATTTTTTGGAGTAGTATTCGCCTAAAATAACTCTGACTTTTTTCAATAACAAACCTGTGATATATTTCGCATATGGCAAAGTAGTATATATACCAAATAGCATGTCTGAAATCAAATTGGAACAAATTCTAAGACCGAAAGTGCGCAATAACTGTCCCATATTTCGCTCGTTAATTGCATCATCTTGAGTCTTTTATACCCCTATAACTTCACGGCAAACAATCACAGGTGATTTTTTTGTTTTAATTTAGACTCAAGGCAACATTATTTTTCACTGGTGAAAAAAAATCCGCCAAAAGTTGCTAGAGTTGTGTCTGGAGATAAAAACAACCCGAACAAAAACACAATTTGTAATTCTTTCAGTTTTGGGAATTAAGAAAGCGCCATATCAACTTTTTCGCTTGATTATTTTATTCGAGTGAGCAGTGAAAATTAGTATTTTGAAAGAAATCAAATTTGCTGACAATTTTTAAAAAAATTATCATGATAATTAAGATATCAATAAAATTGTCTAAGATAGCTGTTAGTCCATTCAATTACGCGCTCAAAAAAAAATTTGGCTAAAAATGATGTTGAAGGAGTACAACAGTTTTATATTGCCGAAAAAGTTAGTATGACGAGCAGACGAAAAGTATAGTAAACCAATTGATCAACAAGACAATTAATTATGGGCGTAACCCAGCCAGAGTAAAAATAAATCTGCGTTTTATAGATTTGTTACGAAAAATGATAACAAATATAATTGTGAAAATTAATATAAAAGGTGCAAAAATGGTCATTTCTATTTTAAAAAATTCTAAAGCAAGACGATTTTGTACGGTGACTTTTTTGCCTGCAATTTTGAAGCGATTCCTGGAATTAGGTCATTTATCTGCGAGGGAGAAAACGAATAGTCAGTTCCTTACAGAGAACCGGATGTTTCCCAGGCTGCAAATTGCAACAAAACTTGCCGTATATTTTTCTGGGCAGGGTAAGAATGCCTTGCTCTCAATCAACAAGCACAGATCAGAGTGAGCGCGAACCCCGGCCTTTCTGTTGACAAGCGGAAACTTAGCCATTTCACCACCCCTTCCCCAAGCAAAATAGTTTAAAATTAGACTGAAAACCAAGTTGTTTTTTTTTCACAATTTCATTGCGGCACCGAATTTTTTTTTTGAAGATTTTTAAATGCCATTCAAATCACGACTGAAAGAATTAAATTGATATTTCACTTTTTATGATCTGTTTTTGTGGTATCTGATTTTTTAACACTCGAATTTTCTACATGTACATCGACATCGGAATTTTAAATTTGTGAGGCGAAGAGAGGAGGTACCAAAGAATCCAGGTTGAACTTATGCTAACTTTTAAGCTCTCCCAAACAGTGTAAAAGCCCTATATTGGCAAATTTGAAAAAAAAGGGGCAAAATGAAGTTTTTTCGCATTTTTAGAGAATTTCATCAAAAAAGTTGCGTAAAATATCACGGTGTATTGAGCAAGTTTAAAATGTCCAAAAGAGCACCAAGTTGACGTAGGGGGTGAATCATAAGGCATTAGCGATCTGTGATTCAAATGATGTCATTTGAAATGCGCTATGCCGAGAGATAGTTTTGGATTTGAAAGGTGGGTAATTAGGGCATTCCCCTAACGATCCCCCCCCCCCCCCAAATCCGCTACTGTGCCGTAGGCTCGGAACCTAAGGGATAAGTAACTAATGTCAAGCAGATTTACCCTTGTGGCATGTGTATTCACAGTCCCTACACCTGTAGCCCTGCTTGCCCAGTCCCAGTCTCTTCGAGATGGGCTTCAGACACACCTCACACGTCTCACTGCGGCTGAAGTGAGTGGCCACGAATGTGTGGTCATTGTAGATGTGCAGTTTGTTGCCTAAAAAGTCAGTTCGATTTAAGAGGTACCAGGTTCGAATCTAGATGGGATCGGCAATGTTTTTTTTCTTCTAACCACTTTTTTCGAACATGTGGAATGAACGTTTTTCACTGGCCGACCGATATTTTCAAAAAATATATATTAAATTTGGTCATTGTAGATGTGCAGTTTGTGGCCTAAACATAATCAGAAGTATTTTGAAGCTTGAAACTATGTCTGATCAAATTTGCCACTGATATACTTGTATTCTGTTATCTGGTTGTTCAAAAAATTAAAATTAACGTGTCGATTGGTCAAAGTACTAAATCAAAAAAAGTGAAATCCAATATTTTTTTGCTTTAACCATGATCAGAGATGGATGTCAGAGATTCAAGTCTAGGACAAAATCTCTATATAAATTATTTGAAATCAGCAAAGTTCAGACAAATTATCAAACTTGTTACATTTAACCATGACCCGTAAAGCCCATTTGGCAGGCTTTTACTAATCAGACTATGAACAGTATCTATTCTATATCAGTATCAAGTGACAGGTTGATATTTTTTTAATGTATTTTCCAAAGCCAAATTAAATTGTAACACACAATGTAATGCAATAACTGGTTACGAGCATCCGGCTTGAAAATAAGATTTAATAATATCATAAATACACTTGCCTTTGATGCCGTGTTTGTTGCTCTTGGCCAACTCCTTCGAGATGAGGAAGAACTTGGTGCCGGTGTCAATCACGAGAGTAGAGCAGTCGTAGTTCACGAATGAGTTCCGGCTGTTGATGCTACTCGTGTCACTCGACGCCACAGCAGACGAAGCTACAACACTGAAAAACAAGAGCAACATTTCAAGTTACATATGCTGTTGTGGCGTATCGTCAGTGATGGTGCCCAGCAAAATTACTAATTGTGTTTGATGTTTGCGAGTATCTTGAACAGATGGTAACTTTAGCAGATACGACGGAAAAAACAATTGGTCACCAAAAGAATCCACTGAGCTACCATTTTACGCAGTAGCGGATTTAGGGGGGGGGGGGACGCTCTTCCCCCTCCAGGGATTCGACCCTCTGCCTACCCAAAGAGTCCCCGCTTTGTACTATTTTGAGATATCCATTTTTGGCTGACTGACCTTAAAATTTTTCTAAGCAATCTATACTAATTTTGAGGGAGGGGTGCGCGCCGAAAAAACGCAATTTTTTGGTCAAAATTTTCCAGAAAGAGCTTTTTGGGCTTTTTTTTCAAAAACTTGCCTGCGGCGCATATTGGGCTATTTTCATTTTTGTTGAGGCTTGCATTAATTTTCTCTAGAGATGAAACAGCAATTTTTTTTGCCAATTCTTCTTAAAATCATCTGTTAAAAATGATAGAAATTAGCAAAAATTTCAAAAATTCCGTCTTCCAACGAAGCAAAATGTGACTTAAATGTAAAAAGCTAAACAGCACTTACGGTGGTGGACTGGCTGCTTGATTCACTGGCACCGTCTGGTTATTACCCCCCTGCTGGGCTCCCGTCCCCACCCCCATGCCCCCACCCAACCCACTTGGGATATTCTGCTGTGGGGTAACGTGGGTGTACTGCTGTTGACCAGATGCGAGTTGTTCTTTTGATCTGAGTCGGACAATCAAGGGGTTGTTTGTTGTTTGAAGTTGCTGTTGTTGTTGTTCCAAACCGCGTTGAGTAATGTCCACAGAACGATCACGACGGCTAAAAAAAGATTTAAAAAAATTCGAATCTGAGTCGAATTTTTTATACATGACATTTTTGTTAACAAATTTTTCTCTTTTTTTTGAAAAATTAGTGCCATGAAAATTTTTAAAAAAAGGACTCTTTTCCAGTTCCCCCCTTTCAAATTCAATTTTGAAAAGCTTATTTAACGTTATCATAATGCAATGAAATTTGGCGGGGTGAACAAATCGACATCTGTGAACAGATGTTCTTCATACTTTACAGCGTAACAACACGCATTTAGCCGTAATAAGACGTAAAACAAACAAAAAACTCAGTATTTTGAAAAAAAGGGGGAGGGGGACTGGAAAAGAGCCAAAAAAAGTCACATGTATTTCACATCCAGACCTTTAATTGAAAAAAACTTCATTTTAACTTTTTACTTTTTCTTTCATAGTTCTAACCGCACTAATGAACTTCAGTAGTTTACTAGAAAGCCAAGTACAATGGAGCCAAAAAAACATGGGCTGAAAAAATGTCAAATTTTATTCCAACCATTGAAATTTTAGGAGTTTAAATTTAGGAAAATTAAATGAAATTTAGGAAAGCGGATGTAAATCGCATTTTGAAATACATTTATTAAAGCTTAGTTTATTTTTTCTATATACATTTTTTTATCGATCAATCAATCAAATCGATCAAACACACCTGAACCAGTCTTTGATGGCTTTAGCCGGGCCCCCTCCCCCTCCTGCTCCTCCCCCCTCACTGGTCCCACTTCTGCTCCTGTCTCTCTTCGGACTGGCACTCTTATTCCGACTCCTCCCCCTGTTCCGGATGGGACTGAAGGGAGAGCGACGACCGGGGTTGGGGGGATCAGGTGCTGAAATGATAGTGATGATTAGTTAAATAGAAATTTTTCTGACTTTTTCAGATACCAGATCTCTTCAACTATCCCCCCCCCCCCCCCCTTAAGTACCTAGTGACGATTATCCCCCCTATAAAGAAATAAATAAACCGTTAAGCATATCGGGGAATTTTATACCTAGTTACGAACCTGCCTCGGCCCTTTTTGCAAAAAGGGGATATAGTTAAAAAGATCCCAGATACCTCCCCCACCATTGGTAGCGAGTACAGAATGTCCACACCTGTAAAAGACTATTTAAACGCAAAAGCTTGAACCAATTTTGTCACCTTGTATCGAAATTTTTGTGAAATATAATCCAGCCGAAGTATAAATCAGCCGAAAATACTCAAGTGTTATTCAATAGATATGTAACAATTATGTAACAGTTACGAAAGTTATATTCAAATGTCATTCTTATAATGTAACGTTTTTTTTTGTTTATATACTCCGCGCATTTTCGGTTGGTTTATACTTCGGCTGATTCATTTTCTCTCCGAATCGCCATTACCCCTTTGCATTAGCCAGGAGGGGGTAAGAAATCGATAAAGAAATTTCAAGGAGTTCTTTTATAACGTTGGTTGAAGTTAGAAACAAATTAGTTTTTTTAGAATACTTACTTTACTGCTCTGATGATTTCTTAGTGAAAGTATTGCAAATTTATGTGGTTGAAATAATCGTCTAGATAACTGTTAATTGACAGTAAAAATATAAAAATAAATCGGAAATTTCCGATAGCATTTTGAATATTAAAACGCTGAAACTATATAATAAAAAAAATGAGATAAGGTCTGTATTGTAGGGTTATTTATTGCTAATCAGAGCGGGAGGGAAACTTTTGAGAAAACCAAGTTATGTTTTTTAGGCGAGTTAGAAAACTAAAACAATTTTTTAGAACCAGTCTATAAAACCATTCCATCTTATTATCGTGTTTTCACGGCTAGGCGATTAAAGTGGTTAAA